ACCCTAACCCCTGAGGAGGAGGAGAACCCTTAAACCTAACCCTTACCCCCCTAAACCCCAAACCCCCAACTCCAACCCCCAACCCTCAACCCCCAACCCTCACCCTCACCCTCACCCTCACCCTCACCGTTACCCTGTGACTCTCTCTTCCTGGTACTTTGGATCCAAACAAAGACCTCTCAGCTTCTGCAGCACTATGTCTGCCTGCATGCTGAAATTATGAAAATGAACTAAACCTCTCTAACTGTACACAGGCACGAATCAAAAGGTTTCTTTGTTAAGATTTGCTATCCTCTGGCATCTCTTCACAACAATAGGACAATGACTAATACAGATGCCAGTGTTGTAGTCGCCACTGACAGAAAGTTTGCTGAAAAACAGGAGATTCACACAGTAGCAGCACAATGGAATGAGCTTATGGGGGAAGGGGAAGTCCAAGAAGCTGATTCCTGGGTCCTGTCTTGTAGATACTGATTTGACTTATTGGTGCTCACTTTCAGAACCTGGCATTTAGAAAGGTCCTTAGACACAGTAAGGTTTCAGCACCACAGAAATGAATTATCTGTATTGCTTCAGAGCAAGGAAATATAATTCTGTTTTAATAGTGGCACAAATAAGACTCAGGAGTTAAATTATTGAAAATCATAAAGAAAGGAAGTGTTGAACCAAGAACTGGAATCCACATCTTCTTAGCCACAGGGCCAGTAGTTTGGTAGAAGCTAATCTGTGGGTCGGATTATATTAGAGGGCAGGGGAGGGAGAAGCAGGAGCCATGCCCTGGATAAATGAGAGTTGGCAAGATGGCTTTGGCATGCATTATTCATTGATGTGTAAAAAGGGGGTGCACTTGTGGAGATAAGACTCCGTAAGCTGAGAAATGCTTCTAGCATCTTATAGCCCATTTTCTAAGTCAAACCACTTTGTTTCCAGACATTGAAGTTGATAAAGGTTTTTTCTACCCCTTTAATGTAAGAAAAGAAAAATTATATTGGAATTATGCTTCAAAGATTGAAATCAATTCACTTCTGTTTTATGAATGAATGACCGTGAATATATTTGGCATTTTATAATTTGTCTTACCTCTCCATTATCTTTTTTTCCTAGCTCACTTTTTAAGTGACAGAATGATTTATTGGCTATCTTTTAAAAGTTCCATTTTATTGAACAAATGGTGAATATAAAAATCTGTCCATTGACCTAACACTTACTTGGATATTCAAAAGTTTCTTTTGGTTAAAGATAACTCATAGAAATAGAGTTATAGAGTGGTAGAATCTAGAAAAGTGGAGAAAATTCCAAGATTTTTCTTCTCAAAATCTGCAGGAAGTGACCTGAATTAAATTTTACTTTGGATTGACCATTGATGGAGTTTGCTTTTGATTTTAAATTACATGTTTTATTATGCATTTATCGGTCTTGCACTGATTCAGCTCATCTCTCCCAATATATGTGTGCCAACATTTCTGGAAATACCTTTTTTCAAACACAGAGAGAGTTACTTGCTGGAAGATCTAATTGTGCAACAGAGATTCAAATGTAAAATATCTAAGTGATTTTAGAAACTATTTCATTATGAAAAGACTTCTAAAAGGTTATCAAGGAAAAGGATTGGAAATAACCCAAATGAGAAATTACCAAGTAAACCATGAAGGACTAGTTAAAAATAGAAAATAGCCTTAATCTGGAATATGAGTGGTGGAATATTGGTATTAATATGGTGATTGTGTGAGACAATAGGTGAGCTTAGCTAATATCATGACTAAACACTGTGTTAATTTCCTTTGGTTGCAGAGAATGCTGTCTCTAGGTGTCATTGATCAGATAGCCAAGCACTGTTTAACTGTCATGTGTGTTAACATTAGTTGGTACTTCAGCAAAACAAGGACTTGTTAGTGGAATATCACTTACAAGATTGGGAAGAAGCAGTCATTTTCTGGGTGTCTGTGGTACAGTTTAAAGAACATGATGGTTTGCCTTTAGCCCCTGCGGCCATTCTTAAGTGACTTGTTTTCTCATTTTTCTCTCTTCCTCACGGGGGGGGGGGGCTCAGTGTGGATTTGGGGTGCATCAGCTCTCTTCTTTATGTGATATGCTACAGTTATGTCACTCTGTATTTCCATATACATGTTCTATCCACTCTTCATTCACTACCATTGTTAATCAGGAGACTAACTTGCTGAACAAGGTTGACCAGGGAGCAGAATTGGAGTCCTAAATTAAACTGGGGACTCTCAGAGGGAGCCATAAAGGCCATAGTCAGGGATCTGATCCCTACAGAAACAAAAACCTAAATGCTATCTGAGGTACTAAAATCCCCAACAAGGGGGAGATGGCAGAAATGGCAGAGATGGCGGAAATCGGAGCTAGCACTCTCCTGCCTCTTTCGCTGGTCTGGGGCTAAGCTAGGGAATTGAGATAGGACTAGCTGCTCCCTTTTTCGGGAATGGAACCGTGTAGGTGTTCTCTGGTTATATGGAACTTTGCAGGCGGGTTTAGGTACCCGCCAGCTAGGGAGGAGAGGGCAGGAGCCGCCCAGGCCTTTGGAGTTTGCCCCACGTTGGGCGCCAAATATTGGAGAAATTATTTTGGCCACTCCACGTAGTTAAAAGGATATTTATTTAATGGCGTAACTCACAAATTAAGTAATGGGTAGGTTGCAGGGTCTGGGGAAGGTGTATTGTAATCCAGCGGTGTTCTCCGGAGCTCTGCACAATCCACCTTTCACCAGTCCGGGACCGAGAGAGCGCACAGAGAGAGTGCTGGCCCATCCAGCTCTCGGGTCCCCAGGCACCTCCCCTCGCCCCGCCTCGTAGGCGTGACAGTTGCCAGAGTCTCAATGGGGGTTGGAACTTCCAGATCCAAGCTGGAATGGCTACCCACTACAGTTTTCTGCACACTAACATCAACCAAATGTGAGTTAATAATAAATTCATCAGATAAAGAATATAAAATATCAATTTAACAAAACATAACAAAGGGTAGAAATTTAAAGCCATCGTGTTTATTCAAATGACCAATAATTTAAAAATGGAATCATATAAAATGACCAAGATTTGATGATCTCCCAGATGTGGTATTAATGGTACAGATATATTCTTTTTTTTTTTTTTTTTTTTTTTTTTTTTTTTTTTTTTTTTTTTGGTTTTTCGAGACAGGGTTTCTCTGTGTAGTTTTGCGCCTTTCCTGGAGCTCACTTGGTAGCCCAGGCTGGCCTCGAACTCACAGCGATCCGCCTGGCTCTGCCTCCCGAGTGCTGGGATTAAAGGCGTGCGCCACCACCGCCCGGCACAGATATATTCTTGAGGATAGTTTAGCTGCTTTTTATGAGACAAGAATACAAAACAAATTGACAATTGCCCTCTGGGTCACTCACCATGAAAGAATGGAAATTTCTATACATATAAATAAGTGTTTATAAGAGCTTTATTTATAATAGCAGCAAACTTGAATGATTAAAATGCTTTTCAGTGAGTGCATAACCCTCCAGAAAATGTAACAATATTAAACAATAAAAATGAAGAAACTAGTGATACACAAGACAATGTGTGTGGGTCTCAGGGAAATACACTAAGTCAAAAAGCCAGTCCCTAAAGGTTACATAATTTATGATTTCATTCAGATAATAGTTTTGTTATGACAACATTACAAATCTGGAGAAGAAAGGCTGCCAGGACTTAATGGGGAATGAAGGGTGGCTGATGGGTGGTGTGAAAGATTCTTGTGGGGATAGAATTATATGCCTTGAGTGTGGTGATGGTATAATCTGGATCTACACATGTGGTGTAATTGCATAGATCTAAATGTGCATATGAACATGCACACATATGCATGTAAAGCTAATAAAATTTGATAAGATTGGTGGGTTATGTTGTAATCAATTTCCTGACTGTGATATCACAGTGTATTCAAAATGTTACCTTTGGGGAAACTGAGAGAAGCATGTTGAGCATTTCCTTGTCTTATTCTATATAACTGAAAATTTGTTGCCTCAAAATAACAAAAGAAATTGAAAGTAAAGCAAAATTTAGTATCAAAAGATACCAGTTTTAAATAACAAAAATGTAAGGACTATTGGCATAAATGTCACAAAAGTTCTGAACTACCTAGATTTAGACATCCTTAAGGTTTATCACAACAGCAAAGAAGACAAACAGATAACACATGATATTTTAGAGGGGTTATTTATTATGTAACAGAGGGATAAATCTAATACAATTCCAATCAACCTAGTAATGGAATTTGTTGAAGGCAACAAGATAATCTTGAAATTTAGAAATATGTACATGGCCCAATAGTACCTGTAGCCCTATAGCATCTTCAAAGAATTAGATTGGAAGACTTACTCTGATAAAGCTATGGAAATCCATGCCATATGTTTATGAACAGGCATTATAGAATGAATTAATAAAATTATTCATTTCCCTTTCTGAATGATGGAGTCCTAAACTGTAAAATAGGCCTATTCCAGTTTCATTCTAGTGCTGTGATAAAGCATTTGGATCCAAAAAAGCTTAGGAGAGGGAAGTGCTCCTTTCAGCTTACAGGTCACAGTTCATCATCAAGGGAAGCCAGGCTATGAACTTAAACAAGGACTTGAAGCAGAAACCACAAAGGAACTAGCTGCCTCACTCAGACTCATTTTTAGCTATCTTTCTTTTACATCTTAGGACTACCTGTCCAGGCAATGGTGCCACTTGCAGTGGGCTGAGTCTTTCTATATCAATTAAGAATCAAGAACAACACCCTTACCCCCAGATATGGCCATAGGCCAATCTGATCTGGGCAATCCCTCAATTGAGATTACCTTCTCAAATGACAGTAGGCTGTTCCAAGTTGATAATTAAAGTTAAGTTGGACAGGACTTTAAAGCTGGAAAATAGGAGAGGCTCCCTCCATTCAGATGACTTTAGTTTGTTTCAAATTGGCACAGAACTAACCAGAACAAGTGGCATGATAAAGTGGGTAATGCCAAGAGCTGAACATGGCAAAGGGGTCTTACATAAAGAAAGGAAGCTAGAAAGTGAGGCTGGAGTCAAACATAGGGTGCAGGAGGCACCTATGTAAAGAGTTGAGTTGAAGGTGTAGTTACAGGAAGGATTGGAATGGACAGCAGTACATCTACCACCGAAGCCTCAAGCAATCATAGCAAGAATGGCATTCTTAAGAGACTATGGCTTATATTATGTGACAGGCATATACATTCTACAAAACAGTGAGCCTAAATGCCTAAAAAATTTCAAGTTTTGGATAGTTAAAGGCCAAGAAGCTTAGATAGAGTCATGACATTTACTTAAAATGTGTGGATCTGAACTGATCTCTGTAAGAATAATAGAGTCAAACCTGTCCTTAGATGTATGCTACTTAAGACTTTGGAATATATCTACATTGATTTTTTTGCTTTTTGTAATGCAACTATGGATATGGAAGAAATACACTCATTTACTGGAAACAGAGCCTGACATGTTCCATGGTATTAGGGCACCAAAAATCCACTCTCAACTGATTCAGGAAACAAAAATGTCTGTACTATGGTGGCTACATTTATCTGTTTGAGATTGGTTTATATTTTTTTAAACAAAGCTACTCATTATTGGTGCTCTCAATGGGAAATTCCAGTGTTTAGTTTAATCTGTTCTTGTTTTCCCTCTTTCAGAAAATGTAGACTCCTATCCTATCTAGGCCCCAGAGGAGCAATTACTCTCAATATAGTGTTCACTTCAGATGGTCATATTTTCCTCGGGCTGAGTCAGATTGCTGACCCAGTGAGTAAAAGAGCCATACCCAGGAGACAAGTTATAAAAGGCCATCTGCACAGGTACATTTTTTTAAGGTTTCCATTTTTGTGTTTTAAATTATTGTCAAAGGTCAGATGTAGACATAGGGGGCATACAAAGCCATTCTCAAGCAAAGTGATGCAGCTGTACATCCCTGCAAGGTAGGTAGATGCAGGCAGCCTCTTTTATTGCTCAACTACTCAGTTTGGTACTTGAGTAGCATATTCTATCCTCTATGACTGCTCCCCATATTTTGTCTTCTTCCTTTCATCTTCCCAAAGCAAAGACCATACCCTTTGATCAGCCAAGGCTGTGTGCCTATCTTTGGTTGTTTTTATTTGAATTTTCTCAAGATATTATCTGAGCTGGTTCTGACTTGAAAGTTTGAAAGCCCTCTTCTTGAGGGCTGCCTTTCATGGGACCAGAAAGTGTCATGCAAATGTCCAAGAGTGGGAAATAACCTAACCGTAGATGGAAAGTCCTATTCATCTATGATGTCTGTGAATCACATCAACAACCAGCATGTAATGAATTCCCCCCAGTACCTGCCTTGAGGGCATTCTATCAGGGTCCAGAACAGATGCTACAAGTGGCTAAGGATACTAATCTGAGGGATATTCAATGAATCTAAGCACACTGAGCTCTTAGTCCATTCACTTTATTCTTCTAAGTCAATTCTATCTACACGTTTCTTTTCTGTTCTCTTACTTAGCTCCTCTCAGTCCCTCCTGCTTTCAGTCCCTTCTGCTGTTCTCTCATCATTCTATCTAGTTCTTTCAATCTCCATCCTCATCTTTGTTCTTCTCAATCAATTCTCTCCAGTGCTGTCAGAGAAACAGTATATATACCTGAACAGTAATTCTTTGGCAAAGCTTTGCAAGGCTTGAAGTTTTCAGGGTCACAGAGAGAGGTGATAAGGATCCACACATCAAGCAATAATTGTCAGCTTCCAATTACAAGCCAAAAGGGAAGTGACTAAAGGGGAGTTCTCCAGTAGGGTCAACTAAAGGCTAAGATCAATTAGGGAATTTATGTGCTTAAACTATAATCTAGAAATGGCTAAGTAGAATGTTAGGGGTCAATAAGTCACAAGACAGTAAACTGTCTTTGGCACTACTTTTCCCTGCTGGTCCCAGCTGCAGCTGCTTTCTGATAGGGAGGAGGACATATGCTTAGTGGCTAAGCAACCTATGTCAGAGCATGTAGCATTTGGTTAGTAAAAGCACTTTTGTTCAGAGTAATTGATGAGGAGAAAATCTAGGAATAGCACCTGACTGAGGAGGAATTAAAACTTATTTTGCACAAGAAAGAAGTTTGGCACCTATCACCTGCCTGGCCTTATAGGCAATCTCCTTGGGTCAGTGGGAAGTAAGTGCCTTAACTCAGTAACTAGCAAATGCCTAAAACATCATCCCAGGAATGTGAGCAGTAAATCTCTTAAGTTAGGGTCTTGTATAAATAACCTGGGATGAAGGTAAGGAGTTGAGGATTTAATTGTTAGTGATCCTTTTCTCTATCTGTGGATGAGGTGAGCTAATGTTTATTTCTCTGTATTTGTCCTTGGAAAAAAGGTAGCTTTGCTCGAACACTTTTGTCTGGAGAATGGCCCTGGCCAGATATATGTAAATGGAGAATAAACACAGCTGGGGACATTTGTCCAATTACCCCAAATGTATAGGGAAAGTTGTGCCCAAGATTGAGATACAAT